TTGGTCTTGAATTTTGTCCATCTTGGGACAGAGTTGTGCCCCGGGTCGTGACGCGCCACGGTTGAAACCGTCGTCTCTGTAGATCGGACATTTTTCGCCTGGGTTTTCACTCGCCACTCCTGGTTCGAGCGACGACGGTTTACAGAACCTACCTTGGGAACTTGTTTCGGGTCCTACATTGGTCAGGTGCCTCATCTTACTCGTGCGTCCGGGCAAACCCACCGGACGTTTGGGCTGAGCATATTCCGGTCTCGTTAGTAAGTGTTAGGTCACCCTCTCGGCAACGGACCATTTCCCGAACGGGAAGACTCCCACAAATCGGGGTCCTATATTTTCCAACCAGAACGTTGCTTTGAGAAAAACTGGACAGGTATATCCACGCATTCGTGCTTGACCTGTGTCCGTTTAAGCGCGACGAAGGACGTCTCCTTCGTGTCGCCGCCTCTTACGGTGTTACAGTTACCCACATGTACTCGGTTGGTGAATCCATATGCCCGTCCCAACCCGAAGTCGTTGTGAGAAGCAAAACGGGGCCCGTTTTGACTCACGTACTTCCTACATGTCTCTCGCGTACTTACTAGTGACTGAGCGAACCGTCTACGGTCTCTGTCATTCGTCGTGACAGAAGTCACTGTCCCACAAAGTACAGTCGAAGAAGGTCCCCAAGTTTTAAGTCTCAGCTCACTCTGGGTAGATTTTGGTGATCGGTTCAGGGTATTCCCGTGGTCACTTGACCTTTCCCTCCTCGGACGCTCGGGAAATGTATTTTGCCTGTCTGTTTTAATCAACCTACAACATCGGCAGAAAGGAGTTTTCTGGGTGTACGTACGTCGTTATCGTCGGCCATGTGAAACTAGCATCCTTTCGAGACCACAATATTAATCAGGACATCTTTCTTTTTAGTGGGCGTCCTTAACTTTGTTCTCTCACAGGAAAAACTTCCGTGTAGGAGTTTGTGAGAGTGTGAATGTCAGGTATCTCTCTTGATCACCTCCTTCGGAACGTGACGACTTATCACACAATGTGGAAGGACTCCCTCGCTGGGTGACATAAGGTCTAACATGGTGAGTGTCCCGGTCCGGGTATCACGGGTTTCGCGCAGGCCCACACCACTTTTCTAGCAGGGGCAGCGGACTCTGTGATCAGGACGCATCACCCTCGACGGTTGCCGATCTGTAACTCTCGTAAAAGAAAACTACGCTTGTCTAGATGGTCGCGAGCCTGTCATTACTGTGGTGTGTCGACTAGTGTTGGGTAAACCTACAGCTCAGATCCAGACGTATATCACCACGTTAGGACGACCTCGTCGTCATAGACGGGGCTCCCCCCAAGTAGTGAGGACCATGGCAACGCCCGCGAGGAGTCCTCTCCTCTGAGGCGTTCGATGTTATCTAGTCAAACCGCACGGTCGAGTACACATCTGGACCTCCTTGCGTTTGTCCTTCTTGCTAAGGCGAAGCGAGAAGAGGTGCTTATTTTGAATGACTCTGCGTCGTAGCGCAAGCTACTTATAGGGTGGGTGGATTCCCTGACGTAGACGTCAAGATCACCAGCCAATCAGGATTGGCGTAATGAGATTGATGCTTCTGTTTGCATACGCGTTGAGGCGCATCCCATAGTGAGACATCTCACTTCATGTTACTCTGAGAACTGGGGTTACGTAAGTAACCTATAGTTTATTCTGTGTTGAATAACTTTTTTTTAAAGGCGCATTATTCGTATTCCGCTTTGTAAAGCTGCATGTTGCATTGTTTCTTCATTATCTGTTTAATTCATTTATTTAATGGGTTTATCATAGCCTATATAAATAACAGTTTCCTATTTTGATACACAACACACTGAACATTTTGAGCAATAAGTGACACTGCATATGACACAACAAATGATTTTCAACGAATAACAGATATAGCCAAATTTTAGGACAGTCAAGTTTAAAATAGATATGGGTGCAGTAAAAGATTTGTTCTATCATTTAGGATTACTGTGTATGCAACTGCCACTAGATGGCGCCCCTGACCGGTGACAGACGCCATAGATACAGCTACCTGTTAGGCCGGTAATCCTGCCTTCAACATCAATCCAAAGGCTAAAGGCCGACGCAGGAGACTTGTTCTTTAAATCGCCAACCAGAAAAAATTGTCATAAATTCAGGCTTTTGAAGCTAGATTTTTTAAAAGTTTAATGACGTGTTATAACCCTACTGAAAGGGAACAGATGCAACGCTGAAGCACAACATGTAAAATAAAGTACACGCAACATAAGAGGCCACATAAACACCGTGAAAATTAGCAGATCAAAAAATATTATAGACCTTCAGCTTTTTCCCCCCTTTAATGTTGTACTACTTTATTTTAATGTCGAAGCCTGATAATTAGCAGCCCAGGCCTTTATATTGAAACATGTTGTATGAATTATAATGTTTGGAAAGTTTCCATTAATCAGAGCCATAAATATTGGCACAGTTTACATAACAGACTTTCTTCATCTTATTCTTCTAATATAATTTGAGCATAACTTGCTTACTTGTATACATATTTTCAGGCCATATATATTTGTAGGATCAGGCCATTGGGATGTTCACCAGCATAATTTTTATTTATTTAAATATGATGGGAGGCTGTTTTTTTTAGCCTTAAGTTATAAGAAGTAAATCAGTGCTTTATATGTAAATACAGTAGCCTACCGCACATTTAAATAATTTCTACGAGGTGACAGTCGTTTATCAGTGTGTATTTTAACCCAGGATCTGTGCTTTGGTTTGTTGTAGCCTACTCAGTGGTAGAATGAGGCACTGTAGCCGCTTGGGGGCGTTGTCTCTCGGTTTGATTACAGACGTATTGTCGCCTTCCGTGCAATAAAATGGAAGATATGCTCATCGAGGGCGCCAGGTGAGCAATAAGACAGACCAATTGAGACAGTTTGTGTCATGTATACACCTAATCACTAGCGCCAGGCTTGCTACACATTAACCAGACAATATACAAATAAAGATATGGTGTAGATAAACTCATGACTCGAGGTGCAATACAGAGGGTAATCAAGGGAATTTTATGGTCCTTTCAGGTTTTACTCTGACCCAAAGCAGCAAGTCTTCAGCAGGCGATGCTGTCCCTTCAAACATCTCAAATTTGAGTCCTCATACTGTCACTTTTCAACTTTAAAACCACATATACTGATGCATGAGAGCTATAACTTTTGGTTGACCTCTAATTACTATTTGGTTTATGCGTTAAACCTAAACAACTCACCTCAGAATACATGTTGGCCAGAATGCTTCTTGTATGTAATTTTTTGAAATAAATTACAAGTACATTTAAGGATTTGTTACCTTTCATTTTTCTTTCCATTATCACTAAAACTGTAACTCTAGGCTAAATGCCCTACCTTACAATTGACGCCAATGAGACCAATAAAGGAAAAAAAAAATGAATTATAGTGCGGGGCCCCTTGTCCAGGTAGGAATCCCAGGTATGATCTCCGGAGTTGAGAGGGTCTTTGCTTCTCCCTGTGTTATCTTAATTGGACTCTTTGAACACAGCCCAGACGAGTATCTCCACATGAGTTTACTGAAGTGGAGTTAGAAACTTTCATCGCCTCTCAAAAGCGAGTAGAAACATGGTGGCACTCTTATTTGCAAGATTAAGCGATTTGTCCTTTAATGCCAGCCTTAAATCAGCTGATTTAAAATGATTTCTGTCATTATCACATGTACGGTTAAAGCGAAGGACACAAAGTAAGAAGTGGCATTTCAATATTTTATTGAAACTTTCAAGAACACGATGTCGATGTTGTAAACTAGACATAACTCCAATACAACATAACCCATTTACAACTTAAGAAACACAAAAGAGACCTTCATATTTTCGATTATGCGGCACTTGTACGATCAGGTTCGCAAAGTATTTTAATAACAGAAAAAAAATTGCCCACTTTTTTTTCACACTTCAACGACACTTCTCTTGCTCTTCTCAGGAAAATAATTTTTTTTTTCAAGCCATTGGTGCAGTGCGTTGTCGCTTTTTCATTCGTTTTAAAACAGTAGCACTTCACACACGGGGACAACAAATGAAAATACAATGGCACATGAGTGTGAATAACTATAGCTTAGTGGATATTTGGGGAGGGATAAAGTCCTTATTTTAAGAGGGGTATAAATGCAGATGGCAACAGAAGGATAATAGCCCACAAACTATCTTTACACAGGTATATCGACAATAAATTAAGAACAGATCCCTAGAAACAAACTACTCCGTTGTATTTACACGAAATAACAATATGAAATAATTACATAAATATTTTTATATATCCCTATGTACACCTTTAATCAATGCTACCTTACATTTTTGAATATTTAAATGTCTGCTTCCCTTTGCCTGTTGTACATTTGGGCTTAATCCCGCATGCTTGGGCCATAGTTTTATCTCGGAGCACTATTAATGTCAATAGGCCTGTTCTTATTTGTTGTTAAAAAATATTTTTTTTCTAAATATTGAATACCTAATTAAGAAGAAACCTAAGCAAATGGGTTTTATTAATTATATTCCAAACTCAATATTTGTCATACTTTTCGTTTACATTTTTAGTGTTAAAATAACTTTCGTTTTTAGGGGGCATGCAACATTTGTTCAATCGATCAATTACTAGTGTAAAACAAAATACAGCAGTCTTTAAAAGGTAGGTTGAGTGGTAGTGAATTCAAATACGTCAAATCAATTCAGAGTGCATATTAAAACACATTTCTCCACGTGTACAATAAAGTTAGGAGACAGGACACAGCAGCAACTTCTCCTAAATGTGTAAGTCACACCCATGCCAACTTTTCAGTTTCAATACTTGTACGGTATTCAAATGACAGAATGAAAGTGTTGTTTAATTTAACAAAAACGAAAAAAAGAAAAAATATACATAGCAGATGTGTATTAACCAAAGTGCATTTCAGAAACTAAAACGTCCAACAGTTCGTGTTTTTTTTGTTTTAAAAAAAAATGTATTTTCTTTTTAAAACCTGCATGAATCTACAAGGGTGGCCTACAATGTCTTCATCACCGTCAACACTTTCACCTTTTCATGACAATAACGAAACGAGAAGCAGGTGGTGTGTTTAAAAAAAAAAAAAAATACAAATAAAAAAACTATGGGGATCCGCTCCGTGGCCTGTCCTGATTTGATTCCAGTCCGCTGACCAGGCGCTGGATGCTCTGCAGCTCGCTGGCTGCGTCTTTCTCCGTGCAAGTTTTTGGGGACATGGATACCGAGCCGGAGGAAATGCCGGATGAGTGGCTGGTCACCTCTGATGTGGAATCCAGGGTGATACCAGACACGGGGCTGGCCGGGACCAGGCCATCTCCTTTCAGCTCGGTTCCGCCGCCGGCCATGGAGGGCATGGTGAGCAGGGTGCTGTCCGGTACCGTCATGGGGATAGAGTAAGGGCTGTACCTGAGTCGGGGACGCACTGCGTTCAGGAACGGGTGCCGGTGCACCGCAGCAGAGGAGGCTGCCGCGGCTGCAGCCATGTACGTGTACGGATAGGGGAACAAACCTCCAAACGGAGACATGGCAAGGCCCTGTGGAGGAATTGAGAAACTCAGTGTGAGACACAATAGGCAGCAAATACAAAATGTGCGAAAACTAAGTAAGGATAGAGTGAAAAAACCAGTGAGAAATGCATGATGGACCTGATAAACAATTTGAACAGCCTGTTGCATGCATGGTTTGGATTAGAGTCCTAGAACACATGCTTGAACATTCGAAGATTTAAAGTGACTTGCATTGCGCAATTCTTGTTTTTATTTCCCTGCCCTCAATATTGTTTTCATTCATTAGTTTAAGGACTACAAAAGTTGGATCTGATTTAGGCTGTTTTCAATGCTTTCATTCACACAGGCTTTTACAAATCTATAGTCCTCATAAAATATTGTGAAGCAAGGCTTCACCCCAGCCAGTAAACAGCTTTGGTGAATAAAAAAAAACACTGCGTCTGATGTTGCAATCAACATTGACAATGAATGGAAAAAGACAATTTTGTTGTCTATTAAAGCATCATGTTGTTTCTCTAAGGCATTTTAATATTCACCATGGTGGTTTAGCTAACTTAATGAGCTCATATCAAAAAGATTACCTAACACCTCTAGCTGTTGTGTCTGTCTTTAAAATATGTTTTCTTTATGAATGGTTGATATTTATAAAAAAAACAAGGCTAAGAGAAACCAGGAGGGTGATAAAACTTGAAGGCTTAGTCAGTTAAAGTGCAGTTGTCCAACTTTACTTTCAATAATAGCCCATGGCAATAATGCTAAACAAACCCAAGCACAACAACGCAAAAACATTCTTTCTTTCTCTCTCAGTTATGATTAAAAACGCACACATGGGCATGATGACGAGAGCATTAAAGGTATTTAAATATCTGATATGTTGAATCTGGCATATGGGCCTCCAAGGCCTACAGGCTGCTCTACATTAAAACTCAACATGTGCTTCATTAGAGGCGGAGAGTAGGCCTAAGCCCAAACAACAGGTTTTACCTGCGATGCCAAGACATGTTGCTGCAGATGAAAGGGCAGGCCTGGCGCTCCCGTCAAGCTTTGCGAAGGTGATGCCATGCTAGCTGTGTCCATGGTGCTCACCCCTCCCGTTGACACAGCCGCCAAAAGTGGCCCCATGCCCGCGGCCATGTTTGAGAATGCACCTCCCATGTTGAACTGACTTGGGTGCAAGAGAAACGGATGCGCACTCCCAAGGTGATTGAAAAACTGTTGTCCTGTTGGAAATCCGAAATTAGGAAAGTGGCTGTGGGCCATGTGCGGGCTTTCAGTCTGAACAGTCAAAGGCATGAAACTGTCTTTGCCTATTGACCTGCACTCGTCCGTTTTAGGCTGTTCCAGACTCGGGCTTTTGAGATCTTCTCCAGAGCGGGTGGTGCTGGAGATGACGGTGATGGGGCTTTGCCGCGAGTCTGCCTGGCTTTTCTCTGTCCTGGGACCACTGTCACGGCTCCTGCTGCTAGAGTCAGTTTTGCTAAAGGTGTGCCCCTTAGCTGGGCTCGCCTCATGATCCTTCCCATCCTTGGTAGTCGTGGAAATCTTGTTGGAGTCCGGAGCATCTTTGATGTGTCCATCTTTGCTCTCATCGTCGCTGTCCTCATCGCTGTCGCAGAAATCTGTCAAAGTACAGGAGTAATGTTTAGTCCACTTTGTGCACATTGGCAAACCATGTATTTCGCAGGTGCAAGAAAAATACCTGAGTAACAAGTATTTGCACAAATGTAATCCATATTGGTGAATTATAACCCAAAACACATGTTTCTCAATGTTTTCAATAATATTTAGACGCAAACACATTACTAGGCTATGGCATTGTTTTGTTTTTTTAAAGTAGCCTACTAAATTGTGTATATTTGTAGATTACCATAAAACTATTTAAAGTACTTTAACTGTTCCTCTCAGTGCAGAGCAGTGTGTAAATGGGTTGATGATTCCTTAAGTTTACATACTCTTCTTCAACACATTGCCTTGTAAAAAAAACTTGCTACAATAGAATTTTTACGACTTTACACAGGACTTGCGATCTGGCTGTTGAAGCCTGTCAGTTTACCTTTCAGGTGTGGGGGGCCCGCGGTAGAAACGGCAGGGGAGGAGGCCTGGCCGAAGCACTTAAAGGAAGCCTGCTCTCCGGAGGAGTCGTCTGAAGCCCCGTTCTCCTTTTTCTGCTGCTCCTCGTATGAACGCATGGATTGCAGAGCCAGCTGTTTCCTGTGCACAAGTACCCAGGTTATTATAGGCGGCGATCACAGCTCCCGGGTCAGAAACAACATCAGCACGATGAGTGGTGTGGAAGCTGATTTGATACCTGAGATAATGGAGCTCCTAATTTTAGGACTGACTCACATGACCTATGCTGCAGGTAACAATAACAAATCAATTACAGTGCCATTGATTCAGTAGGCCCGTATATTATATCGTATAGCGATCTTCCACGTGACATCGCCAGATAGGCCTACGATCCAAGCGCAATGTAGTTTTAAACATTCAACGTTGCGGGATACTTTTATATTAAAAAAATAACAGCTGGCAAGTGAAGATGATAAGGAAACAACTGCATTAAAAACTACCATGTTCCTTGCTCTGTGTCCGACAGTACAATTGGACTTATTGTAAGCCTATTTGAGCACTTTCATTAGAAACTGTGAAGAGCCACACTCCCTGTGGGTTAACGAGGAAGCTTTGACGTGCTTAATCCTCACAGATCACCGTCTGCCTCCATGTATAAATCTGAAGACATCTGAAGTGTTTTTCGTCTTTGAAATGCACTTTTCCTTCTTGTCTTACCTCTTTTCCCGTCTCCCATTGCCCGTGTCACGGAATCCTTTGGCAAATGGATTGTGATCAATTTTCAGCTGGGTGATCTGAAATAATTAAAATCATGCGTAAATATTGGCGAATGAATTTCACTCCCCTATAAGTTTCTCATTCAACGTGACTTTTCATACAATTGCAAGTTTAGTCCAAAAACTGTTGTAGGTTTCTGAACGTTTACAACGATATTAGTTTGGATAAACCAAAAAACGCAACAAACGCGCACAAAGGGCATGGGCCCTTATATTGTCACGTTTTTCGAATGGATTCTAACTTGCTGCATTTTTACAAAAACAACAACTTTTGAACCACTTTACTACCACACTTCTAACTGCAATGAGGTGGGGGTGGGGGTGCCTTGTGTTCACAATAATATCAGAGAAAGGAGATGATTTCCATTATGCCTCACAGAATAAAATGTTACCATGCAGCCAGGCTGACACAACCAACATGCTCCCCCTTTCTTTATTTTTCTCCATTCAACCGCACAGTGTTGCCTCTCTTCCTTTCCTCCTTTCTCAACCCCCAACCCTTTTAGTTTTACTCACACACACATGCACATACACACACATGCATGCAGAGAGAGAGAGTGAGTCTGGGTCTATGCCAAATCCCTTCCACGTGATTAAATAAAAGGGACACAACCTGTATAACATTCCTCAGAATTATTACTTTCCTACCACAGGCTGGTGAATATGGCACTTACTCGTAACACCCCCCACCCCCCCTCCCTAAATCTCCATTCTCACAGGCTCTAACAAATATGACGTCTTTCATATTTTATGACAACAAAATGGTGCATGAAAGACGCAGAGGAAAGCGCGTCTGACAGGGCAATGGACACAAGCTGTGTTTGAGAAAATACCCCTGGTACAACCTTAAGCCTATGAGCAATAATTGTGCTTACCTTGTCATTTTGATAAGCAGTCACTGCAATGAAATCAGTTTCAGGAAAAACGTATGTCCTGAAGGTACTGTACGGTAGTTTGAGAATATCGTTTGCCCTCACAATGTGAAATCGAGGCTGATATTTGTGCATGGAGTTGAGTATGGTCTGAAACACATAATCACAACATGATAAGCGAACCATTGAAGTAACACCGGCTTTACAGAATAGCTCTGTACATTACATCTTAAAATGCTCTTAGTCTTTTTTGAAAACACAAGTCACATATTGAGTGTTAAAAATGATAGATAATAATCATTGATAAATAAAAAATTATTATGCTGTCAAAATAAAAAACATTTAAAAATAATAATGTAAAGGATTTATCGTGTAACATTTAATCAGTTTACTAAATCTGGTAATACCATGGGCGTCAATAAAGATATCGACTTACTTGTCTTCCTTAATAATTGTAATACTTATATTAAATAAGAGGATCTCAAGATAATTTCAGTTACAATTATGTTTTAATTATAAAATAAATATTTTTAAGTTATGCGCAAAGTCTGTCAGGTTTCCCTCAAAACAATAAATATTACACTCGTGACTTCCTGTGTTTCAATAAAAACTAAAACATCAACACATAGCCTATCAACATAATTGACTTTAAATGGTAAGTGTGTAAATAGAAAAAGTTGACATACATTAGTTGAACTTACAAATCCGTGCTTGTCGGAAATGTTGTTAGTCAACTTGAGTTTGTGAAAATTGACGACTTTAGACATCCACTGTTCACCAGTAGCCGGACTGTCCGGGTGAATGTACATCCTCTTTGGCATTTCGGGGTCGGCCTTCCCTGCTACCATCCAGCGGGAGTTATGAAATTTATATCTGCAGTCGTCGGCTGCAACAATGTCCATCAAGAGAATATATTTGGCCTTTTTGTCCAGACCAGTGCACCTCACTTTGAACGGGGGGAACATTCGCCTGTGACAAAAGAAAATAAGTGATCAGTGTCAGTGTCAAATAGAAACATGGTTAAATTATTCAACGGTATAAAGAAAAGTGCTGTCGTATTTTTGAAGATATACATCTATAGGCTACATTATTTTTCCCTAAAAAGTATGGACGATTACAAAATGATTGCCGATTTTCTTTAACATGTAATCTTACATTTGGAAGCAACTTTAAACAAGTTTGTTGTATTAATTTGACAAGTTATTGGTAGCCATCAGCCTGCTCTCAGTGTATCTGCTAAAGAAAGCAAAGTCAGCCGAAAACGTGTCTCGCGAATAAGAAGATGAGTAAACAAATACGTGTATTATTGTTCTTCTATATCCTGATTAGCCGTAGACACGTCAGCGCTGTTTAGGTGGTGTCTGGATGTTTAATGCCTCCAAAGGCCTACATGCACACACACAGCAGACTACAGCAGCCATCTTTGTCAGTCTGATGATGACGATAATAATTTATTCAAAGCTCCACACACTCAAAATTGACATTTCAGTGGACAAATAAATCAATGTAAAGTTTGGACAGAACGGGCATAAAAAAAATCTACAATAGGATTATAAGCAAGCAAGACAAATGTTTATAGGCCTATGATAAAATCTCAAGATCCGTGAATTTGAAAGTAGTGTCATTGATAGGCTTAATATTAATAATACAGCAGATACAAGACCCTTTTATTTTACAATACATTACAGCTAACATTTGATTCCTTATTATTAAAGACATGTGTGTAAGAGTTAAGGTAACCAAATAGTTTTTCTATCAAGCTATACAGAATGTATATCCATGATTTCATTTGGGGTCATGTGTTATATTGTTGTGAAAACATAATTGAGTGTAATAAACGTCATATCTACATGACAATTTTGAGACAATTATGATGCAATTCAAGAACAATTTGATACATATTAGGCTGATAAACATGCTCGAGAGCGTTGCATGAGATATCAAGAGGATATGTTAAGATTTACAGATAACTCCAAATGGCATGTATAAATATATATGTATGTGTCTATGTGAAATAGCAAATCCCTCCATTATGAATTATCAATACACATAGCAGACTTCTGCATGTCAGATAATATATTACATTTTTTGGATGAACCCAAACAAAATCTGTTTCACCTTCCGGATTTTGTGATCACCATCTCGGTGCCTCTCTTGTGGAAGAGTTCCCAAAGCTCCTTGGCTTCTAGGTGAACCTTAGGGTCGTCTTCCACCTCTTCTTCGGGCTCCAGGGTCTTCATAGGCCGGAGGTGTGCGGCCGCAGCCTGGTGCCCCAGCGAAGAGAAGTGTAGGCCGGACTCCGCGGCTCCCATCAGCTGGTCCATGATCGGCTTTCCCAGGCCGCCCGGCAGGGAGAGGGAGCCGCCGTGCTGGAGAGCCAGAGCCGGGAAGAAAGGAGGCTGGTGACCCAGCATTGCACTCATGGCAAATTCCGGACCCCGGTGAGGCATAAAGGGATGATATGCCATACTTGATCCCTGTATGACTGGATCTCTCATCAGGAAGTTCATCCAAGAGCAGTCTAAAACTGTTGACGATAGAACAATATTTCTACCAACAGTGAACGAGCGAACAAGCGTAGGCTATTGCAAATGGAGACAAAATAAAAAAGGAGCACAAATTAAGTTTAAGTTGAAAAGTTTGGGAAATGTCTCCTTCAGCTCTGCAGAAATAAGCATCCACTTATTGTTCACAAGTTGTCAGGAAAGCGTTATGATCAACAGTATGGAAGTAGAACTGTAAAAATGTTGTCCATTCTTCTTCACAAGTGCTGCGAGACCGATTTTCTTCAGAGCTTGACGCGCATCGGACACCCTTTCTGTGTCTCGCTGGCTTGCGGACATTAGGCGAATTAAACCAACTTGGGTGAGTCACTTAATTGACTGCAGTGCATTCTTTCTCTTCTGCTGCTGTTTACAATATCGGCATTCCTGTTAAAATGCGTTCCTTCTTATTGGCTTCAGTCCTGCAGCGAGGGCGACGTGTTGAAATATTTCGATTGCGCCGAATAATCCCCCTGCCTTTACTTGCTCCGGACTTGCACCCTCACACGCACACACACACTTTATTCCTCCTCTCTCTTTCACGCACACACACATTTCAGAGAAAGACGTGTGCAGAGAAAGGGGTCCGCTGACGGCCAGGGAGAGAGAGAGAGAGAGGTGGTAAGGTCCCAGCTCCGTGATTTTCCTAGCGCCTCTGTGGCCCATAGGGCTTCATACTGTATGGATGTGTTGCATGTTACGAGTAGCAGCGCGGCGTTTGATTGGCTCTTTGACGCTTTCGGACCAATTGTGTGGCTGCGTAGGCGTGGTTTTAACAGGTCGGGTGGAGGGGACAGACTTCGGACTTATAAAAAGGTGTTTGGAAACTCAAAAGGGCTTTACCGTGAAACACCACTCTGCCCCAGTCAGTGTTGTGTGAATATGTCAACATCGTTATAGAGGTTGCGCTATCGGTCGGTCTGTGAGACCCAGCGAAGGGGAGAGAGCAGACCGGCCAAGCCGGGAAACCAGCTGGCTTTGTCGGCGAGATGCTGTGATCTTGTCGGGCTTTTGACTTCCTTCTCCGTTCCATAATATATCCTTATGAGTTGAATATCGCGATCATACTTTTATTCATTCATATTTCTATATTTATTAAATGATCTAACCGTATTCAAATCGCTGTCTTGTTCGTTTGTTGAGATTTAACAGCGGCGAAAAGCAGCCGACTATAGACAACATTTCCTGTAACACCCCTCTTTCAGATCATAGCAGGGAAATATGAGCGGGTGACGGGATGAGGCGCTCCATGATAAACTCATGTGAGAATGTGATGCAGATGCTCAAACGTAAAAGTGTTTATTTTAGATATATATAATCTTAATGTATTTTGATTTTATTAAAGTTATGGGTGTAATGTCTATTTATTTGTATTTTCTTTTACTAAATTGGCCCCTTGGATGTTTTTGACTCACGCTATTAGCTCTTAATTACAACTTTCCTTCTGCAGCCTATTTGAGTCTCTGTGAGTGAAGTCAGTTAAGGTTGTGTATCTTAAAGAAATGTACTTTCTTTTATTGATGAAATACATATAACTGATGAAGGTTTGGATGGGTGGCCATGCCTTCAAGTCTATAGTGGATTTTTTTAATTTGGACTTGAAATGTAATTTTACAAGACTATGAGCTTGTAGCCTGGACACACACAAATAAGAGAAAATCAGGATGTGTTCACTGGTGCTCTTGTTTTATCCAATTTGGTGTTTTGAATCATACCAATCAATTATGTTGTTACATTTAGCACGCTTTACTGGCACAACTGTATGGGATAGTATTCAATTTAACTCATAATCTCCACAGTGACACTTGCACAGGCTGCATCAAGTGTAATGTATAATATCATTTTTACTTCTATCTGGTAAACTGTTTTTGCTTGTATGAAGTAGATTACAGTTGTCATAATCACTGTTCTTACATCCTTTATTACATTGAAGGCTAGATCCGTACTTTTATCACTCGGATAATTTTTTACAGTTAAGCCTTGGATATAAATACATCTTATATCATTCTCTGCTAAAAAGCTTCAGGCAGTGGCTCAGTGTGGGTGCACTATCATTGCTTTTTCTGCAACACGTCTAAAGAGATGTGCATACCACACTTGTTCTCCCTAAAATGCTATTTAACCAGAAATTCACAAGTAAACTAGAGAGCCGTGGCCGGTCAGGCCACCTTGGATAAACATTGACCATCATTTCTCAGTCAATTGTCTGTCTCCGTGGATCCAGACGGGGAACTAAAGTGGTGGGGGATCTCAAAGTCCTTGAGGGGGGACCATGCAGAGCTAATTCTCAGACAAAAAGCATTAGGCCTTTAATGCACCCTGAACACTGCTCCATTCACTCTTTTGCCTTATTCATCCAATATTAATGATGTAAAGTGGTAAAACATCTATTTACCTTCTGATGTTTTGAACATTAATTGGTGTGATGTAGCAACTTGTTGCACCTTGGAAATATTTTGAAACCTATATCTAGTATTGTTTTGAAGTTTGAGCTTGAGATAGTCAATGCCTCAGGGCTCGTGCTGACAGCATCAACTTCTACTGAAGTTCCATTCAGCACTACAACTACTCGTGCATGAAATTTCCTTGCAGCACAAGTTACCTGCCACAGTGCTGCCTTCATCATAGGCTTTAATGTGTTATCTTCTGAAGCGTGTGTGTGTTTGTCCCTATACAGTATGTGCAAATGTGTGGGCATAAATTGAAGTGGTTTGCATGCATATTGCCCAGGGGAGATACACAAGGGTATTCGGCTTATCTGTTGCATGTTATTGATTTACCCAGAGAAAACCAATGTGATAGCTGTTGATAAGCAGCATCAGACCGAATGAAAATCTAACGGCTTAAACCAGGAGCCCACCTTTTACATGTTAAGCCCCAAACTGAAGGTTCTGCTTTCCACCAGCCTTACATGGGGCCTTCCATCTTTTCTCTTTGTGTGAGTGGGGTCAGGCCTGTGTCAATTACTCTGGCTTATTCTTCTTTAAACACTCACCCCCATTAGCAACACAATTTAGTGGAAGGTGTCATCAAATAGGAAGCAGTGTTGACACGGCGGCAGCCTTCAGTGTCTGTGGCCAAGATGGCTTCATTAGCTAAGCAAGTAGAGAATAGTCAATACACTATATAAAGTTTTACAGGGTTAGGGCTCTCAGGGACTCCAAGAGGCTATAAAAAGGTCTGAGCTGACATCACTGATTGATGAAGTCAACTTTGTCAGCGCTTCCCTTTTAATACTTCTACAGAGATCATGCATATCAAAATCAAAATGGGCAGTATTTTTGACTTGACAGGCTCTCTCACTTCCTGTGGGTTGGTGAATGTAGGGAGTTAAGGTTTGTGTCTGATATGTAAAAGCATCATGCAGGACTGTCCACATAATTAGTTATCCTTAAATCATTTTCTGTAAGATGTCAGCAGTTAAGTGGAGAAGCAATTTTCTTTCTCGTGACTCTGCAGTGCAATTATTATCAACTGCATGTTTTAATTACATACCTATTACTATTTAACCATTTGCAAACCTCCCAATATTATCAATGAAGAAAAACTGCATTAAGGTCATGGGTTATGAAGCCTCAATGCCCTGACTACACACAACAGTTATACTGTGTAGGTTCATTAAGCAAAGCTTCAAAGACATTCCTGGAATTGATCATGGAGCTGCAAGTGATGTAATGTATGCTGTGCTGTTTATTTGCAGATTGTTAATGATAAGCAAGGACAGACTTGGTGGCACCGCTCCTGAATGGAGGAGATTGTCTGGTGAGAGTCATCAGGCCTAACACGACATGATAGGGAAAGGAAACATCACAAGATTAGTATATTCAACTACTATAATGACTCCAAACTTCATTATGGACATCCCGACACAAAGTGGAGGAGGAGACGTTCAATTGACAGCGTAATGACTTTCTAAATGCAAACCATTTACCTCAAAGATTTAGGTGGGGCTAATATTGATCAGTTGAGGCTGTATTGCCCCAAAAGGCGCAGATTGTAAAATGCACTTTCCAGAATCACACACAAGTTTTAGTCAATTGGCAGGAAGAATGATAAACTCTTTACCTGTCAATGAATTGTCCCCGTCAGGCATTTTTTGTTAACTAAACCCTTGCACTCATCAATTTCTCTGCCGGCCAGTTATAGGTATTGATGAAAAACAATGTTAGTTAATTAGGGGATGTGCTTATTGATGGTGGTGCATTGACTTCAGTTTGAAAAGGAAAATGGGAGTGTGCTGGGAGGACATTTGCTCCCTCGGTTGAGGCTGTAGTTGAACAGGGACTCAGGCTCATAATTTGTGATGTTATAGCATAGCGAGAGGAGAGGCAAGCGAAAGGGAAAAAATTGCATGTTTAGCTTTTGATCTTTTATCTAAACACTGCAGTATGGTTGCTAAAAAGCTGTTGTAATATTAATAAACAAAGGAAAGATCTGAAAGAAAGTTGAGATAAAACGGATTCATTCATAAATTGGCAGCAAGTCATTTGAGATCTGTCACAAATGTATATATGAAAAAATATTATACACATTAAAAGTAATTCGACCTGAGTTGCAATCGATTTTGATTTTGAAATATCAAGATTACATGCATTTAAGTGTTATATGAAATACTATTTAGATAAAAAATGTAAAGTTTGCATTGCATTTTCTGGCCAAAAGCTCACTATAAGGTTGCTTAATGGTTTGTATTCATGTAAAAGAAGCACACTCATTATCACCTATGCCTGTGGAATAGGGTAGGACTGAGCAGCTGCTTTTTAAAGTACATTGTATGCTGCACTATCAGAACAAACCAGTCCAGTGGCATGCACCACCTGTAGAGCATAATGCAGGAGATTTGTCTGCTCAACCACAGAAACAGCCGTCAGGCTTTCTCTGCAGCGACAAGCTGTATGATCAAGATGCACATGCCCTCAGATGTGGACCATGTGTCTAAAATCTTTAGCTTGCCTTACGTGCCAACACTTGCCAACGTGTGAGATAGGCATCTTTCCCCTTATATTGAGCACTGAGCACTGAGAATCGTACCCAAACCAGTTTTGCGTGCTACAAAGCAAACAATGGCAGATTGGAAACAGAAGAATCCTCAGGTTATTTGTCATCAAGTTAGCACTGTGTAAATAATGTCCCCTCTATATTCATGAGACATCAGTTAGGGACTATTTTGGTTTTGAATCAAAAAGAATTTGGGGTTGCACTGTGTAGTGGGTAGGGAGGTGCCCTAATGCGGATATCTGCTGTCTATTTAGCCTCCCCACCATTGGCATCAACTTCGTGCTGCTTTGACTTTACAGTCTCACGAAGTTATACGTTTTTGCAATTGAGCCCAACCTCAAGACCCAGCGCTTTCAAGACGAGAGTGGTGCATTCCTCCACCAAGGGATTCTTGGTCTGTAAGGGGTTAGGGTGGCTTCTCTCTAGAGGTTAAGTGGGATAAGTGTGTGGCTCATGTCAACCCCACAACCCCCCAATACTTTCTGGAAAATGTGCAATGGGGTCAGATTGGATTACTGTGTTTTGGTATTTACATGGAGACATAGGGCTTTGAAATGGAAAACCATAGGCGGAAAAGCAAGTGCCATGCAGTCTGAAAGGCAGGGTAAAAGAAACCAGCACTGATTTCCACTGACGGGACGGT